CGCGTAACCTGCCATTACTGTAGGATCCCCATTTGCAGCATCAGAATCCTTGAACTATCCCCCATGGCTGAAATCACTAACTTCTGGCCTCTTCCGTCATGTGCGTTGCCAGCCATAACACCTCTGAGCTTCTGGAGTACCAGCAAGTTCCTTTGTCATAGGGTGATAGCTCCTGGCCAGAATGTGGCAGTACAGTAAAAGTCACACTTGACAACTTGGTGGTTTTTTTTTTCTATCTTTAACTTCTGAAGTCTAATGGTAGCTCTGTGCTACTCTGGTTGATGGTGTGCAGTGCACAGTTGAAAGCAACGGACAGTTGATGTGAAGGGATGAAATATTAATAATGAGAGGGGTCTCGTCAATGGCCTGTAAATGTCAGTATGGGAATGGTGAAAGGCAAGCAACCTTCCACAGATTGACCACAGAGCATGATCAGCAGGTTTGGAGAGCATGGGAAAGTTCTAGAGGGGCTTCCCAACAGAAGGTTGAGTATAGTGATTTTAATTAAAGGGTGAGAGCACTGGTACAGATAGAGGAGCAGATACCCGAGAACAAGGGTCAAACTGCTGCCTTTTGAGGTACTGTTGAATGCCACCAGCCTGCTGGGCTCTAACTGGAGGCTGCAGCTGTGTGTCTTGCTCCGTCCACCACGTTGGCATGTGCACACGCATGGAACCAGGAGAGAGCAAACCCCTATGTTCTATCTCTCGGTGTTCAGACTGGGACTCGGAGTCACGGTGACCACTTCCTGGGTTTGGCAGACTGCTTTCTCAAGCATAATCTTTCCTCCTGCATTTGAGATCAACCAGCACAGACTAATCCTAAGATTAAGGCAGATCAGATGAAGGGCTGTTTCCATAGCAGATGCTCTCATAGGAGTGCTGAATTTTACTCCTGGGATAGAGCAAGGCTGTAAGGCAATGCAGATGGTGGGACAAATCCTGTTAGTCTTGACTAATTGTCAACTCTGTCCTAGTTCCTTCTCCCCCCTGCAGAAAACCAACCACGCCACGTATCCAGTTAAGAGACCAAATAGGTTGAAATTCTAACCCAGGTTTGTATTTGCATCTCTTGTGAGCAACGTGCTGCACCGAGGTCTGCATTAGTTGGCGTTTAACTGGTGGTGTGGCAGTCTGCGTGGTCTTGGAGCCTGCCTGCTGACTGCCCCGACGACTGCGCTGTGCAGCTGCACACCCGCAACTGCACATGCAAACTGAGACACCGGGTCGGAGAGCCACCCTCCGACGTGACTGCTGAAGCAGGTCTAACGAGTAAAGCCTTTGACAGAAACTGATACTACTGAGACTGTTCTGTAAAATCACGGCAGGTTATTTCACTGTCAGCTTTGGATGAGGCTTTCTGCTAAACAGAGAAAACAAGGTTATCTATGAGGGGTAGCTGTTATTTCAATATTTAGATGAGATCTTGCCACCACATCCTTCTGACACGAAGTGTTGTTACGGTTCCTATGACAACTGTTCCTCTCCCCTCTGGAGCACGGACTAACGATGGTGTTTCATTACAGGATCGTGTAATGCTGGGCACTGTGACAGCCTTGTCATCTCTGCTCTTGTGTTTACTCCTAAGTGGCATTTAACTGAAGCCTGCTCGTGTTGTGCAGGACAGGAATCGGAGTGACTGACCTTCACTGCGCTTACTGCCTGCCACCTCTGACTTCCCAACTTCCCACTCTGCATTAGTAAGCTCACTTTCTACCAAAATACATGTGGTAGGATGAAGTTTATTGACAACATTTTCTAGGAATTTATTTCTGTGGTAGAAATTCTATACCCTAACGTTAATTAACAGCAGTATCTTAACACGTACACAGAGTGCTAATCCATAGCTAACCAAGCTGCTGACAAAAATTGATGAGTACAGCCGTCAAACCAAACGAGGCAGCAGATTCCTGTAGTTACTTCTGCCACACACACTTAGTACAAATTGTAACAAGTTGAACAGATATATTAAAAGACTTTATTCACAATAGAGAAATTTTTACAAATATAAGTTCTTAAAAATTAAGCATCTTGATCTATTATGTATTCCATCATTTCAGTTTATATAAAGATGAAAAGACTAAATGGACTATATACAAATCAAAACCAATTTAAATGCATGATAGAAATGGCTAATATGAATGACGACGTCACCATAGAAACAGTGAGCCATTGGGTGTTGCAAAAATCTGTGTACAACCAACACATATGCAATACTTATCTCACAAACAATCAAAATGTTGGCTTTTGTTTTCCGCATGAAGCAACATGGGTGCCATGGAGAGAGATCTACCTTTTAGGACTTAACATACGTGTAGCTTTGAATGCGTTATTACGCTGTGAAGAAATGGAAGAAGCACAGGCAGCGTGTTTAGGTAACGACAACGCTGCCCTCCCCTCCCCAAGCAATTTCATTTGCTTTTAGGAGTGACTGGGAACACCAAGTGACCGTCGCTAGCCACTTCCTTGCGGCTAGGTCAGTGAGCGGGAAAGAAAACGCGTGTTGTCTCAGCGATCTAACGAGCAGTGGTAAGTACTGGCTGTTTCAAAATGATTGTTATAACTTCGGTGGTTTTGGGGTTATTTAAAAAAAAGAAAAATCAATATATTCTTAGATTATGAAAAGGGGTGTTTTCTTACAGTTGGCAGATCTACATGTTGTACAATCTTCTCGTCTACTTACATTAGTTTACAAAAAGTACAGTATAGTGCAGTTTGTACATACAACCTGAATACCAATACCAGTCACACCAAATTTGTGCTCTTTCAAATCATCGTAACTCCCAAACTAAAAAAAAAAAAAAAAAACACAAACCACAAACCCCAAATCATAGTAAATGCCTGTATTACAAGGAAACAGTCATGACGCTTATACTTCAGTACAGAGGACCCCATGCACGCGAGAGTTGTGTGGTTGTAGCCTGCTTTTTGAAACATGGAGTAAAGCTGTCTGGTTCTCCACTGTTTCTCTTCAGCTTGTTAAGTGAAGGCCAGATCACTCACTCGACACATGTGGGGCAAGCATACTGTGGCTAAGAAAACCGGGTATAAAGAGGCTTGGAAAACACATTTCACCAAGACTCTCTGTCTGAGCTACTGTGGTTATTTAACTGATACGAGGCCTATAGCAGCACATGCACACCCACGTGGTAGACAGCAGCAGATGACCCAAGAAAGATAATTAAGACAAAAGTAATTACTATTACTTTTTGGTTTAAAGAGGGGAAGACAACTTTTGTTTTTATCCCAGAGGTGTAATTTCTCTGTGCTTCTTAGGGGTGGAGGGGAAAATTCCCTTATAAATACTGTTTCTGAAGAAATCCAATGAAATATTTTGATCTTCCAACAATCCAAATTCTGGAGTATCAAAATCAGCAGGAGTTTTGTTTTTCAACAGTGGAGAGCCAAGGCTTCATGCTTGCTCAGTCAGTTTCAGAAAGCTGTTACTCTGCCATGAGGGAAACCTTGCTTTAAAGAAGAAAATAATAACTTTTGAAAAAGCAGTAAAGCAAAAAGTCTTGACTCAGTGTGCGGGTTCCATGTAAACAGGCTTTACCTGAGGCAGAGGCACACACACTCGTATCTGCGCTCTTGGCTCTGGGTTTCCTGGGCCAAGCAGGGTACCCCATATTCACTTCCATGAGGGAATGCACAGCTCTGCTGGCCCTGCGATGGAAGGATCAGCGTCACTGAAGATCCTCTTGCCTTGCCCCCTACATAAATGTCTTTGGCAGCTCACGCGGCACGTGCCATCTTCTCTGTCCGCAGGGAAAGCGGAGAGGCAGTGCTGGCTTTACAGACTCCAGAGGGTGAAGTTGATGGGTCACTCTCCAGTGCTATATATAGAAATGTAATCCATTATCTTTGCTCTTGGCTTCTACCTAAGAAAAACTGCACCGCAGGCCTCTGTCAGTATTACGTAATGCCACATCTCCGCTGTGATGAGCTGTGCTGGATGTGTGAGCTATCTTACCAACTACCTTTGAAGAAGTTTACTGTTCAGAACCCTATTTGTTTTGCTGCAGTTGAATCAGTGAAGGATGCCCTTTCTCAGAAGGGGAAGCCAGGCCTTATAGCCTACTCAAAACATATGAAAGTCATCCTGTCGTTAACTGAAAACACAGGTAGCCTTAATAATCACGTAAAACTCTTCAAACTATGCTTAAGTAGAAACAGGCATTAACTGTGTCTCTATTTTTTCCTTTGGTGATGCTACAAAGTAAAACATTTTTGGCAAAGCTGTTACCTTTCTTAGTAAACCAGGCCTCTAATCTGGTGAATAATTTTAAGCACGCTGCATTTCTGTGACTTAGACAGACTTGGTGCTTTCACAAAGCTTCGGTTGTACACTGGATAACTTATCCTCTGAACTATTCTTTTCAAGAGACAAGTTTTCTTCAAGGCATCCGGACATCTAATTTGATTAACACAGATACACTAAATTGCTTTGTGACAAGAAACTATCAAGTCTGAACCTATCTGAATGTTTGAGAAAGTCCCAGGAAACTAATTGTCTCTGGTATAATTCTCAGCTTCCAAGAAAATGTCAAAGAATATATTGTGTGTTTTTACCATTCAACTACATGAAAACTGCTGGGCTAAATACATAAAGCAGGTAAGACTCCCTTCTTAATGTGAAGTGACTATCGTATTTTATTATGTATTAGCCTGACTAAAGACATGAGAATAACACCACTTAGAAAAGGGAGGTGACAACTGATGCTATTACCATATTCTAATCAAAACCTGAAAACCTAAGGTCTGCTAACTAATGTGCTAAATTCATAAAAACTAAGTTTAGACACCTTCAATGTATACTGCAGTTTCAGAGTTGTGTCTGTGTGAGATGAAAATATTCCTACGTAGACTTCACTGACAATGAAATACATCAGGTACTTTACCGAGTGATGAGAGACCCGCATAAGAAGAGGCTGTCACAGTCACAAGAGTTGTCTTGGATGACACACAAAACAAATCAACATAGACCAAAAAAAAAAAAAAGAAAAAAAAAAGCTCTTTATACTTAATTCAATATGGCTTTTTGCAACATGGCAAAATATTACAGCTTAAAGCAGACATCTCCTCACAGAGGAGAAAAGAATTTTGCAGTCAAATTAAAAGCATAACAGGAAGTAACATGCAGACCCTCTGCTCTTTTTGGCCAAGATGACACTGCAGCCTAACAAACTCAGGAGGGTTGTCCTTTTTCTCTCCTAAGAAGTGGTTCAGCTGGATAAGAGGAATGAGATTTTATCATCATCAGTTGAGGTCTGTTCATAAATATTTACTGTTAAAGAAAACAGACTGCAAAACACTTGATTTGAAAATTTAACTCAGGAATTTAAAACCAAATCATGTGCCCAAGTCCTGGAATGAAACATAAGGAATGAAACCAAGTATAACTTAATCTTCATCTATTTCTGGTTTTCTTCTTTATTCCCATCGTCTTTGTGAAGAACAGGGAGAGGATGAGCCTCTGTGTTGAAGACCCAGTGTTCGAATGGAAGAAGATCGTCTTCAGAAAACAGCAAATACAAGTATCTGGCAAGAAAAAAGGCAGGAAGTGTGACCACATCAGGGAAGTGAAACTACAATAGTTTTCAGGAAAACATAACTAACTGATTTCCCTAGATGAATGCATCAATGGCAACAGCTGACCAAACACAAAATGCCACAAAGTCCCAGCCTCACAGCGGGTAGCACAAAGCGTTGGGGCTACTCAACTCAGATTGGGCTCAAAGGCAATAGCAACTGGAGACCAACAAATAAATGCCTCTGTCCTGACAGGGGACAGAGAAGTTCAGGCTATCGAGGTTAAGTATCAGTTCACTTCCGTTTCACCCCTGGTAACTTTATCACATATTGTTTTGATAACATGTAACGATAGTAATTTTTATCCTCGATATTGCAGTACAAGCCTTGGGATTTTTAAGAAGAAAGCTAGAGCAGGACCTTGGGCAGCCATTTACTAATATAGGGTCCATTAAAACTAGCAGTAAACAATGAACAAATCCAAGATTTTATTTATTGTCCTGATACAGGGTAGTAGCTACTGTAGCATGATTATTAAGTCTGCTTAGAGATGAAAGTCCGCTTAGCAAATGACATCCTATTTTTTCTCGATAACCATCCTTCCCTGAAGGCTTTTATTCATCTAATTCTGATGGGCCAATTAAAATGATAAAGTAGAGGCAACACAGTCTCAAAAAACCCATGCCAAGATGTACATTTATGACATTTCATTGAGTATTACCCTTTCTGTTGAAAGGGCATGATTGCTTCCTTCTGGTCTCTGCAACTTTCTCTTGCACAGCAAAAAAAGGTGAAGAGACCAAGACAAAACTTCCTTTATTGCATTAAAACTCGGGAGACCGTGATAGATAACGAAAGCTTTTGTCTTCTCTCTTAATAGGCCATGCAAGCTTACCATGCAAGTTAACTTTTTTCCTTTCCTGTAGTTCTAAAATTAAAAGGATGCAATACAAGCCTGATAAATCCTCGTCTACTTAATTGTTTCATTAGTGTTGGCATATATATTTAGATCCTATCAAAGCTAGGAGATGTAATTTGCCAACAAAGACTATCAAGTACCTTTATCAGAAGTAAAGATAATTTCCAGATGCCACAGAATTTATTTTATTGATATAGAAAGGGAAAAAAAAAAAGGCAATTTGGTTTCTCATCACCTAAGAAAAGCTCTAGTATTTCAGTCAGGTTTTGTTATATGAATGTCAAGGGGACTAACGAGAAATACTTATCTGTAAAGATGAGACACAGAACTACTTCATATTAGTGCAAGTCAACTTTCTTAACTTACTTGAGTGTCTCTGAAAGGAAGAAACTTTGCTGCACATCATCATGGCTTTCGTGAGTGTTATAAACATCCCTAATGCCAGAATAGCCGCCATCTACTCTGCAGTGTTTTTCCAATGCCTGAGGAGGGGGAAAAAAAGTAGGATTGACAACATTAATCATCTGTCAGTTTTCCTTTGTTTGATAATAAAACTAGCTGCAAAAAAAAAAAAAACACATTAGCACTTTTTTTTTTTTGATAAAGCATTGAAAACTTGATACTTGCCTTTTAAAGACATAGGCACCCATGTTACTTTACATTTAGGAAGAGAAGGAAAACAATAAGTTAAGAAAAAGAAATGAACACAAGCCAGTTTTCAGAAGGAAAGATATCATATGGATTTTCACATATTTTCCTTTTTCCTCATTTTACTGGGAATAACAATAGCCTCTCTGTCACAGGCTCGTCTATACAGCCTGCAGAGATCCTGGCACATGGATCTTTCTCGGTCCTATTTTAGTGCTTTAAAATTACTGGGACAGAATTGAATGTCGTGATAAAGTGTCCAGTCTTTTCCTTACCTCCTGTACGTCTCTTTGAAGAAGGAAAGGCAACTCTCTGTATTTTTGATGTCAGTGGTTTGGTTTCTCTTTGCACTGCCTTCATTTTTCAATGGGCAGCCTCTGATGTTGGGCCGTGACCAAACCTCCTTTCTGCAGCGGGTACTATTTTTCTTTGACAGCTTTCTGAAAAGGCTCCGTCCGTGTCACGGGAGCAGGCGGAAAGCTAACGTGGCTGGTCTGAACGCAACATATTTCAGATGCCAGAATAAGAACAGGGTTTCCTCTAACCAGTTTCTAAACTGCGTATTTAGTCAAAAGGGGTAAAACAGATGACTGATCCCTATTTTACAATAAAAAGACTACCTAAAAATATAATTTCTTTTCTGCCCACAGTAATGTTCTATGGGACCAGCTGATATTGAAGGAGAAAATGATCAGAAGAACAGTGAATACAGAAGGGCAAAAGCCATGTACCTGCTGCTGGAAGTGTAGAAGGTACATACAGTTAAGCTATTTAATAAACTTTGCTGCTTTTCTTTTAGGCAGGTGTTTGCATTAGAAATGTGGGACTCATTTGCCTATGTATGAACCGTAATTTCTTTAAATCTAATGCTATCCAAGACCCTACTTGAGTATTAGTTCTCTTACGGCTGCTCTTTGTTTAAAAATATTAATTTTTCTTTATAATTGACCTATTTAACAAGGTTAAAAGTATTCTTAGCTTCATTTTTCTTATCCTCTTTTATAGTAACTCTCTGCTATGATGCAATATAATAAAGGAATGAGAGACTCCAAGATGATTATATTTAAAACACAACTAATCATTCAAAACGAAATCCAGAAAATGATCTTTAGCCCTAAATAACTTCTCACAGTGAAAATGACAGTAAGCATGGATGGATTACTGTATTTACTCAGGACCACACTACTCTGAAACATGGTGCTTGCTGTGCAGACAAGTACTGGAGCAACAACTTTCAGACAGAAATTCCTGGAGCCTTATCAAAACCCCACTGGAGAGAGGGAAGGTTCCAACCCCATCAGACAATTAGTTCCTCTGTTTCTGGAGTTATTACAAATATCACTGAGGTGATTGCAGGATGTGTAGATTTTATTTAGGGAAAGAACTGCATTTCAAACCAGATACAGCAAAAATCTATGAAAAGGCAGAAGATATATGTAAAACAAGCAGAATAAGCATTTTCTGATGAGAGGTGGGACTAAAAGTCACAAATGATTATGAGGGTGTCCATCACCTCCACCTGTTCTAAAGGCTGTTCAAGTTCTGTGTTTTTTCAAGTTCTGTGTTTTGCTGTGAGTAGATACCCTAAATGCCCTTGTTTTTGCTGTACTCCCTGTAGCTATCTGCATAGATTTAGCTTGCATGTCAGGCTCTCTGTACTTTTCACTGGAGAGTAAGCTGCCTGTTTTATATTTAAAAGGGATTTTTCTCCAGGAGAGATCCCTTAAAATATAACAGGCCTATTTGTCTATTCTTATGTGTCTTTAGGTTCTTTAATTTTCCTGGACACTTTTACTAAGTGACAAATATACTTAAGTTTAAACAAGTAATTTCCCCTGGCTGGTACTCCTTCCCTCTTGTCTACTTCAACCTGCAGTGAATTCAAAATGCTGAATCTGTGTCTGGATTTTCAATGTCAAGCACAAGATATTATGTTTTCCAAGGCACAGCAGAAGGAGAACTTAAACTTGAAGGGTAAGGCTATTATTCAAGGAAACATCTGCATTTTGAACAGGGTGAAGTAAAATAAAAGCAAATTGCAATTGGGATTTATATGCTCTAACATGTATTTAGAGCCTTCTTTATGAGTCAGCTGTTGGGAGATGCCGTACAGGTGCCTGAACACACTGCGACGGTGTAGACTAAGAGGGTGACTCGCACCATGTCAGCCATCTGGTGGCAACTACTTGATGCAAGCGTGAAGCATCTTACCCCTCGAAGCTACTTTTTGCTTAATTAAAGGAACAGGATGTTCATGGGTCCCATTAGTAGGATAAAAAGGCTCTTGGTTTTCACCCTCCTTCAACTGGCAATAATGGCCTTTTGAGCCCATATCTGCCGTTTCTGAGTATGGTGATGTTCACGCTGTGAGTGGGGTAGTGGTGAGTGGGAAGAAACAATCAAATACATTTTAAATTAGCAGCTCTCAGAAAATGAGGGTGGCTAAGATCAGTTATGCCAGAGTAATAGAAAACATCAGGCGCATTGAAAACGGGCTGACAGTCTGAAAGTATCATAAAGGGAAAAAAACCAAAGGAAGGCTGTGAATTCAAAATATGTGCTGCATATATAATGCAGAAAGGGAGACTTTATCAGCTTTAGCTCTTGAAAACCTTTCTGACTTAGTAACAGTGGATATTGCTGTTGGTCATAACTGAATTTTCTCCAACCGCTGAAGTACACACAGAACGGGCTTGGACTCAAACTAAAGCAGCAAAGCAAGTTTCCAAAGAAAAAAATGGAGAGGCTCAAGCATGAATTTCGTCTATGGAAGTTAGAGAAAGAATTAATAGACCTGTTGGAGAGTTCGGAAGTCACGACCTATAGGGCAGCCTCCTTGTACTAGGCAAGGGCATTGGGAAACAAGCCTAATGAGTTCTCGCTGCCAGCGCCATGAGTTGAAAAGGGACATGAAACGCCTGAAGAACAACTTTTCTGGGCAACAACAAATGGTCTGACTGTTCCCCGTCTTTTCTTGTTTCAGTCTCAGCTTTCTCTTTGTGCATCAAGTGTTGGCAATTAAAGCAACCACAGCCAGTGGTCAGGGACTTCCCCAAGAACAGAAGGGTGGAGCGACACGCTCTCTGGTGTGAGGAGGGGGGCAGAATTTATGATGCAGTTGTGGAAGCTATCATGACACATTCTGGAACAAAAAAACTCAGTTTCAGGTGGAGGTGTGTGGGCTATAAAGCTCGAGGAAGAAGAGAAAAAAGAAAATTGAAACCTACAGCTGGCTATAACTTCTGTGAAGCTTTGTTTTTGTGAAACGCTGAGGTCCGCGCTGGAACAGTGGCGGGTGGATCTGCGCTGCACGGCCCACACACGGGCTGTAATCCCCTACCTGAGCGCCAGCTGGGAGTGACCACAATAACGCTCATCGAGTACACGCGGGGAGCGCTCGGAAGGTAAACAAGTGTACAGACTTGAAACCAACGCCAGCAAACTGAACCGACAGGGTAAAGAATAATAAGGAGAACATTTCAGTTGTTGATAACAATGTTATCAGTGTGGGCAGCAACAACGAGCCAGGAAAAACATCTCCTGGAGAAGGAACACTTGGCATTGCTGAAGCCCGGTGGGATGACTTCCATAAACAGCCATTCTAAATATTACAATTTGCCTAGGACGATTCCAGTAGTAAAATGTGTGCCTTTGGGTGGTGTTAGAGAAGAAGAAAGTAAGGGAACAGCATTCTAAATTAGAGGTTAAAAAAAAAAAATTGCTTTGGAATCATTAACTCAGAGGCATATTGTTTCAGGGCCAACAGAGCCAACACCTGAGGGAAGCAAATCAAATGCCCTAAATAACTACAGTCTACCTGGCTGGGTACACTGTTGACTGCAGATAAGGAACTGCTGTGAATATTCAAACAAGGAGGAGCTAGAGAGTAGAAGTATAGTTGATGCTATAGTTGATTCAGTGAATCCTGAATACAATTCCAGATCTTGGTTGCTGGCAGATGTCATGTGCAGCAAGGTATAGGGAGTCATAATCCAGTAACAGCTCTCTGGGAGGTTTTCTCAGGGATGAGAAACTGCACAAGTCTACATGTTCTTCCCTTAGGACAGAGCAACCTTCTACAAGTAGCAGTGTAGGACCATCCAAGAAAGTTGTAAACATACACTCCTAGAAACAAGAGGTGATGGCAAACTGACAAACGGGATGCATTTGAAATCCTGGAAAGCAGTAACTCTGCAAAGGAGAGATCTCTGTGAATAAAACACTGCAGCTGTGTTTTCTTTTTTTTCTTTTTACTTTACGTATACAGAGACACAAAAATAATCGCAGAATCATAGAATGGTTTGGGTTGGAAGGGACCTTAAAGACCATCCAGTTCCAACCCCCCTGCCGTGGGCACCTTCCACTAGACTGTTAATGTTTTTCAGCTTCCTGCATCTCCTTTAAGATCTCAGTCTGCTTAGAAATTCCAAAGGAAGAGTGAAAGGCAGATAATTTAGCAAGGGCAACATCAGTGTGTGGAGAAAATAAGCGAACTCTAGAAGTGTAATGAGGACCCATACCTGGAGGATGAAAGATGGTAAATCTCAACTCTAACAGTAAGTGTGATTAATCACTGGCATAAGGGAAACTATGGATTTGGCAAACCAATTTTTGGTGTATAGACTAGCTGCCGTCTTGGAAAGTTTGTGCTAGACAGACATAAGAGCTCAGCATGACTGGTTGAAGCTCAAAGGCTGGTGGGACACAGAAATTTAAATCTAGAAGAGATTGTTATCATTAATGAAGTTCAGTCCAAATGACCTATGCTTTTTGAAAGTCATGGTTTTTTGAATGTTTGGTACTAACCAGTAGTTCATCTTGGCCTTCACCAGACAATTACTGTTGAAAATACACTTAATAAAACTTATTTCCATGTCCAAGGCTCAAATCTGACCCAGTTGCACTTTCCATTCATATGCAGCAATACTCAACACCACGAGCAGTACATCCAAATATGATCCTGATCCAAGACATGTTTAAGAAGGAGATATCACAAGGTATTTGTCTAATATACAATACCTTCAGTATTGAGTTTTGTCAAAATGATCTCAGTTCATCTATTCAGTAAATGAATCTCTGGCAATTAGAGTTGATATTACCAATTTAAAATAAAGATTTTCTTTCCAACTGCTAAAGAATATGCCAGTATCATTCAAGAGCTCATTTAACAAGAAAATAAGAAAAAAACCCAACAGCACATTACCTCTACAGCTTCCCAGCCCCACTGCCTGTACTTTGGGTCATGAGTGAGTCGCCACATGTACATGTAGGTCTCTATGACTTCCGGTCGTAGGATGTAGTATTTTTCATTTTGTCTCGTAGCAATGGCCTCGACACCACCATCAAATCTGAAGGCTTCTGGTCCCAGTTTCATGCCTAGGCAATACAAAAACACATGCTAAAATAAAGGCATTAAAAAAGGTTTCAAATGATGTAACCTACCAAATCAACTATGCTTCCATGTGGCACAAAGCCAGGTTACCCAAAAGGTATATAATTTCTGAAAGGTAACGTTGCACCTCCTGTTTTTAATATTTTGTAAATAATTCAGAGTAGGAGAGAGCTGTTCTTCATCAGTGCCTTAAAGAGCAGTTCCAGTTTGAACAGTGATGCTAACATTTGCATTCTGGAAGACTTCATATAACTAGCAACATGTGAAATTTTGCCTAAAAGACGAAGATATTTACTTTTTCTATATCAAACTGGAAAATGCACTCTGGGACCTGAAATGCTGTCAGGGTTATTTTTATAAGAAGATGAAAAAATCCACAGAAACTTTCTGCACAGAAACTCACTTTCTTTGTGCAATTCTACTGTTTGCAGCATTGTACCAATAGATCTGAGAATAAAATAGGGTTTTTATGCCTACAATATAGTTAATAGCTACATTGATGCATAAATGAACAGGTTCCCTCTCTTATTTGTATTCGGCTATAGAGAAATTGGCAAAGTGTGAAAAAAAGCTGTCACGTTAATTACATGATAGATATGATTGAGTAGATATGATTGGGGTGCACTGAAATTATTTATAAACCTGAGCAGCCATTCTTAAAGTTACTCTTAGAGCAAACAGCATTGCGAGTCCAGAGGAGGCTACAAAGATGCTCAGAGGGCTGGAGCACCTCTGCTATGGGGACAGGCTGAGAGAGTTGGGCTTGTTCAGCCTGGAGAAGAGAAGGCTCCAGGGAGACCTTATTGCAGCCTTCCAGTACCTGAAGGGGCTACAAGGAAGCTGGGAGCAGGGAGGGGGGAAGGGAAGTTTTTACAAGGGCCTGTAGTGACAGGACAAGGGGGATTGGGTTTAAATTGAAAGTGGGGAGGGTTAGATTGGATATCAGGAAGAAGTTCTTCCTGGAGATGGTGGTGAGGCACTGGAACAGGCTGCCCAGAGATGTTGTGGATGCCTCATCCCTGGAAGTGTTCAAGGCCAGGCTGGATGAGGCTTTGAGCACCCTGGTCTAGTGGAAGGTGTCCCTGCCCATGGCAGGGGAGTTGGAACTAGATGGTCTTTAAGGTCCCTTCCAACCCAAACCATTCTGGGATTCTATGATGAAGAGTTCATACAACTTTGATTCAACATTACACAAAAATACTGATGGCTGCCTTCCCAAAGTCAAACTGTGAAACTGTCCTCTCCAGCACAGTACTTACTTGTACGATCATAGGATTCGTGGCACGTCCTGGCAATTTCAGCACCGAGCTCGATGTGATGGCCCGTCTTGTCATTAGGTGCTCCATCTGCTCCAAGAGCAAACATGCCCCCAGCAAAACAAGTGAGATGTCCCATCTTGTGTTCCAGCAGTCCACCCTTCCACTCAGCGATGTATGTCAGCCCCCCGCTTGATTTGCGAATGAGGTGGGTCTCTATGGCCTGCAAAAGTACATGATTTCAAATCCTTTGGTACCACTGGTAGAGGATGAAGGACAACGTTGTCTTGCCTGTGCATTGTTTTCTCTCCATAGTGCCTTTGCTTATAAAACAGAATGGATAATATGAGCTAACATAACCTCAAAGTGCAGCCAAACCAACACAGGTTAGCGTACATCAGTAATGGTGCTTAGTTTTGCTACAACTTTGAGCAATTTACACAGTACATTTTATAAAAATGTTGGAAAGACCTAAAAATTACAATTCTGTTTTACAATTCTTTACTTCTTTGCCTTTCTACCTGGAGCAATTTCAGGCTATTTCACTTTTAATGGTGATTAGTCATCACTTCAGCTTCCATACTTCCCACTGTAATTCTAATTTAAAGACTGTGGTTACTGATATAATCTGACTTCAGTTATATGCAAACATAATTCATATTCAAAACTCCTCACTCAGTGAGTGCACTGAATGATGTTAGGCCTCTGATTCTATACGGCATTCCCAAAGTCCAGTGAGTTTTTCCTCCCTAGACTGAATTCCTCTGTAGTTATCAATTGAGAATAGGGTCTGGAAAAAAAACCTAAGAAAAATAAAACCATACAAATCTCCTAGAGAGAATGAGAAGTTGGTGCCATTAGCAATGTATGGTCATTGATTATGAAATCCAGGAAAACAACCTTCCCTTATGAGAGGAACAGAATTAAAACAATAGAGGAGATGCAGAAGAGCACATTAATTAGAAGCCCACAGAGCAAAGTAAGCTATTGCTCTTTAAAGGGTAATGGAGAGGAGACGAACACCACTATCTTACATTCAGCTATCCAGCAGTGTTCTGGTTTATTCTACTGAAATCATAAGATCCAGAACCAGTACTCACCATGCATTATACGAGAGAAAAAACATGAATAAAATATCGCTACAGAGAACTATTAATAAAAAGCCCAGGATTAAAAAAAGTTATATAAAGAGAAGGTATTGATTATAGTTATTTCTTCCTGTTTAAACATCTGTAAAGGTTGTTTTTATAAGCATGAAAAATCTTCTCTGAACTAGAAGCATCAGCAAAATAATTGTAAAAGTTTTACTTACTAAGTACTTTTTTTGTGCCAAGAATGTCTCATTGAAAACTATACTTTGTTTTCCACTAATATTAGTGCAAAGCACTTGCTAAGGATGTTTTCTGCCCACCTCCAGACCCATTATTGGCTCAGGAAACTCCTCCGTCCCTTTTTTTCCTTCTTGATTGTATGTTTTTAGCACTGGTACCTACTGAAAAGCAGATCTAAATTTTAAAGCAGCAGTAAATAATGAAGATTCCTGTACTTTAAACAAATTCTGAATACTTTAGCGTACAAAAAGAGGAAATAAATATGAAAGGAGAAAGGTGGAAAAACAGTTTCCTTAAGCATCCAAACCACAAAACCCACAGTGGAAGATGAAAGAATTACAGAGGCTGAGTTGGTGTCAAGCTAATTGGTGCTCATGTATTCCAAGTGCACAGAAAAAGGCTTTTCTGTCAGGTTGTCAAACCAGTAGGGGAACTCCTTAGGTACTTTTTAAAAAAAATAATGTTCTTTTGTGCTCCTTTGGGTATAAAATAAAAAAATAATGTTCTTTAAAACACGTCTTTTGTGCTCCTTTGGGTATAAAATATTTGAATTTATAATTGAAGAATTGACAGAACAGAGTTCAAAGAACCTGCTACAAAATGTATTAATGCATAAACAGGCAAAATTTATGAGAAGACAGAAATAATTGGAAGACTCCCAGAATCTTTCAGAGCGCTGTTCGTGATTTTCAATACACAGTTTCTATTTTGTAATAGGATGCCTCATTGTTAAAAACACACAATTTAGTGGGAAGTAGCTTTCCAACTACTCAGGCATTCTAAAAAACAAGCTACCTAAAACCAAGCTCAGAAATTAAAAAATTGTCATCTAATTACATTTCATTAACCCTTTCAGCACGGGATCCCCGTCTCACCAAAGTAACAATTCTGGCAATAGTTGATAACTCTACTGGTCACTTAGCTGTTGAGTTAGAATTTATTTCAAAAATAAACTAATTTAAAAATTTAATGATGACTGAATTTATCTATATTGCATTTTTTTATCTAAAGAATTAACATAAGACACAATGAATTATTACTGTACCTGACAAATAGCAGTAAGCATGCACCTTTAACACTATAGTAACTAGACCAGAGTAGATTCTTGTAGCATGAAAATGGATTTTGCAATACCAGTAAGTCTTTCAGAAGCCTTTTTTCCCCCCTTTTGGCTCAAGGTTAAAGTTCAAACTGAAATAGATGGCTTCCACTAGGGAAATTCTATAATTATTCGAACAAACTGCAGTTAAGAAACTAAGAAACTGATGTTAATTGATGCTAAGAATGTCACAAAATAAAAATATATTTCCAAATTAATTATTCATATTTAGTAAAGCAAATCATCTTGGTTTTATAAATGGGCCCTATTAAGAACTAGTACATATGCCTATTTAAAGCTATTTTTATTTAAAGTTATTTTCATTAGGTAATCATTTGATGTATTACTGCCTCTCAAACTGCCTTGTCGTACTCTGTACAACCATGGGGCCCTGGGTGCTACCTACGTACAGACCCGTGTTAGCTGCGCGCTAGGTAACTGATCCTTTCTGCCTAGACACGAAATCCAAATAGCCCTTCCGTAGGTGCAAACAACCTTCAGGAGCCAGAAGGCTGACCATGCTGACCTTGCAAGTCCATCAGTGCTCAACAAACGCTTACTCTGGAAGACAGGAATGCAAACAGAGTACTTGGTGAAAAACTCTATTTCAAGCTATGTGAAGCTGTGAAGTAGGAAGAGTTTGTAGGTTTCCTGATTTAAGCAAACTGACCTCAACCAAACACCTCTTGCAAAGCGTGAAAGGGTGGAGGAGCGGCTCTTCCCTGTGGGCCGGTAGCTCGCTCTCTGCGACTGGGACGCGCACCAGAAGAGCTCAGTGGGCCATTTTTGGTGGGAGCTAGACAGGCTGTTTTCATCAGAAACAGGATTCCCTTCTCTCATCACTGTTCATTTACCCTCCTACTGAGAAGAGAGAGACTAGCCACTTGCCCTGAAAAAACACTTGCAAAGGAATTTGCACTATCAAATTGACATGAAATTTGGAATAATTTCAGCACAGCACAGATGTTCCAGATTGTAATGACCTTATTAGGTGCGTTCCAGTTGTTTCAGGAACTCCGCATAAAAGTTACCCTTATAACAAATCAGCATATTTGGAAAGCCTCAAAAATGTAAATGATTCTGATCTTAAACCTGCATGAGTACAACATACAAAGAAACTCCCCAACCTTAACGACTGATGAACATGTTCACTGCAATTATCAATTCCTGTATCGGTAACAGGATTTGCAGCATCAAGACATATGGTAAAACCTCCCTTTACCCCACAGATCCTACCTAGCTATAGTTTCAGAATTCACTTTCAAAGCACTACTTCTGTAATATTAAAGTGTTAGTAGAATGCATTAGCATCATAAAGTATTTTTCAGAGTAAACAATAAACCAGCACCAGTACTCTTTCAATTACCCCTTCCGTCTCTACAAGTCCCAAAGCCATCTATGATCCATCTATTGGAAATTCACTAAACTGCTACTCAAATTTTTGATTTTTTGGGGGTTATAATGAAAAGGTACGTAATCCTGTGAGCAGCACATCAAAATATTTTTCAGTGAGTGTTTCACAAAGGTTGTGAGAGTGCCATCTGGCTGGACTGAACTTCCTGAAATACATGATTTTTTAAAATAAGCTTGACGCCCGCAGCAGGATTAAGACACTAGCAGGAACATATGGGCAATTGTGCTCGGTATAGAACACCTTGAAAGCCAAGTTGAGAAAGTACGAGGATGAGGAAGACATACTATCAGTTTAAATGAAGATATAATAAGGGTTTCTGAACTTGAGCGGTAGGATGAAAAGGCAGGGTTACAATCCCATAGCGAAATGCTACTTGCGGTCTGCAGTGCTGTGGGCACAGTCCTGGCAGGGACATCAGCTCACTAAACCAGGTTATTATGAAAGGAGAACAGGCAGTATGGTGATGAAGATCCACCCAAGTGAAAAGCTCTGTTTGGTGGAATTCTGAATTTCCTACTGGGAATCAACTTCCTTTTATTTTGATATCATTATCTACAAACTTAAAAAAGGGCCAAGTTTATTTGAATCTCAGGTCTATCACAACTTGGTTCCCACCTATGGGTAATTCCTTCCTGCATTACCTGCAGATCAAGTGGTGCCATATTTAACACTGCAAAGATCATTAGTATTTACCACTACAAAGATCAAAGAAAGAAGGAAGGATCAGAGGAATCTGATGATGACATGGGCTTTGGTCTTTTTGACTAATTAGTTTTGTACCTGTCTGTAATAAAGAACAAGTACCTGAAGGGGCTACAAGGAAGCTGGGGGGGACTTTTTACAAGGGCCTGTAGTGACAGGACAAGGGGTAACGGGTTTAAATTGAAAGTGGGGAGGTTTAGATTGGATATCAGGAAGAAGTTCTTGCCGGAGAGGGTGGTGAGGCACTGGAACAGGTTGCCCAGAGAAGCTGTGGATGCCCCATCCCTGGAAGTGTTCAAGGCCAGGCTGGATGAGGCTCTGGGCAACCTGGTCTAGGGGGAGGTGTCCCAGCGCGCGGCAGGGGGGTGGGATTGGAACTAGATGGTCTTTAAGGTCCCTTCCAACCCAAACCATGCTGTGATTCTATGATGATTACATTTTACTGTAATGAATATTCTCAATATAAACCAATTTACAGTATCTGCAAATAATCAGAAAAGCCAGAAGAATCTGGTGTTTGATTAGAGGAAGATACATTATTGATGGATAACTGGAGCTGGTACAGTTTTTCTTTTACGCAAATGGAAATTCCATGTTACTGTTTCCCAGAATATATTCCTGCAGTTCAAATAGTAATTTCTTTCGCTCCATCAAGGTAAAGCAGACGGACTGTGCAA